ACCCACACCATGGGGGTACCAGGGTATCCCCCCCTCTCTTCAGCCATACACTGCACTCCTCCAAGCTCACTCCCTGCACTGGGTACTTCGCATGGGGGCAGGAGGGACAGCCCAATTCACAGTTCAGTGTCCAGCCAGCACCTCCCATCCCACATCCCCCACCCTGATGCCTTTCAGATTCCCTGAGACTCCCCAAAACCACTGTCACATGTGCCATGGGATCCCCTGAGCGAATCCACAGCGGGAGCCCTGGGCACCTGCCAAGCATGGGGGCACAGGGGACACCCCAATCCCTGGCACACGCTCACCCTGCTCCCACACACCCAGTGATGCTCCCAAATGGTTCAAGAGCCCCGGTGGCCACAGGACACGCTCCGTGCCCACATCCCGGCAGGATGGGCTCAGCCGGCCGTGCCCATCCCGGCCGGAACCGCGACCAGCAGCAGCGGGACGCCATGGGAGGGAGGAGGGAGCGCTGCAAAAGAAATCGCTCCTGCGTGCTCTGTCCGAGCCAGCTAACGAGGCCATATTTGAAATGCCTCGCATACCTCCGGTCATCAGATTAGTGAGATGCAGAAGGTAAAGCAGAGGGCAAGAGCAGCGCGCCCGGCTCCGGCAGCGATCCCGGGAACTGGGGCAAAGCGCCGGCTGGCAGCGGGGCACGGGCACGGTGCCCACGGCAGAGAGAACCCATGGGTGGGCAGAGAGTGCCCACGGGCAGAGAGAGCCCACGGGTGGGCAGAGAGTGCCCCCGAGGAGAAAGGCCATGGGCACAGTGCCCACGGGCTGAGAGTGCCCAGGGGCAGAGAGAGCCCACGGGCACCGAGAGCCCACGGGCAGAGAGAGCCCACAGATGAGCAGAGAGTGCCCACGGGCACTCAGGCAGTGATGGATGCTGGGAGCTCCTCCCCGCTGGGATCCCGGCAGATGCAGAAGAGAAAAGTGGGCAAGGATAACCCAACGTGCTGCCACGTCCTGGCCACCAGCCACTGCCACCTCCCCATGGCCCTGCTGAGGCCTAGACCTGCTGAAAAACCTCTCAGTGTTTTACAGGGGCTTACAGGAAAGTCAGAGAGAGACTTTTCACCAGGGTCTGACATGACAGGACAAGGGGTGATGGTTTTAAACTAAAAGAGGAAAGTTTGGGATTGGATATTAGGAAGAATTCTTCTCTGTGAGGGTGCTGAGGCCCTGGCACAGGGTGCCCAGAGAAGCTGTGGCTGCCCCATCCCTGGAAGTGCTCAAGGCCAGGCAGGATGGGGCTTGGAGTCATCTGGGATAGTGAAAGGTGTCCCTGCCCATGGCAGGGGTTGTAACTAAATAACCTTTAAGGTCCCTTCCTGCCCAAACTGTTCTAGGAGTCTATAGAAGGAGCAAGATCCCACAGAGCCTCCAAGCACCACCTGTGGGCACAGCTCACCTGCCCTTCCCAAACCTGCCTGGGCAGGAATGGTCCCCCCCGGCCCGGCTCCAGGTCCAGGAGTGGCAGGAGAGCAGGAGCTGCCCCTGGGCAGCAGGTGGGTGCAGAGAAACAAGAGCTCTTACAGGGTAAAAGCAGCTGGATCTGTGGACACTTGGGATCCTGCAGACACTTGGGTTGGGATGTTCAACTGGGAATGTCTCAGCTTTCAGGATGTTCAAATTGAGACACTGGGCTTGGATGTGGACCTCAAAATCCCATCTCTGAGGGAGAGAAAGAGGCACAAAGAGAAAGAGAAAGAGGCACAAGGGCAAGTCCTAGCAAAGCAAAGTGAGAACCAATGACACCAAGACCCTTGGGGACACCAAGAGAGAACCTGGGGCTGAGTAGATGGAGCTGCATTGCTTGGTGGGGCATGGACAACTCCACACAGAGGACTGTGGCAGACAGATATTGCCCAGATATCCCTACAGAAAGTGGAGCACAGGCATGGACTCAAGGCACATTTGAAGAGGAAAAACCAAAACATCACCAAACAAGGGCTGCTTCCAACCACAGCTAACCACCCACACCGCAGGAGGTGCCCAGGGACAGCAGCAGCAGAGCAGGCCAGAGGGGAACATGCCCAATCCCATCACAAACAGTCCCCATTCCAGCAGGCAGCAAACCCAGTGCTCAGCCCTGCTCAGCAAACGTGTGCCAGGGTCAGCCGAGGGTACCAGGGGTGGCAGCAGCCACCAGGAGCCACTGGGGTCACTCACAGGGCCAGGAGGGCACTGCTGCCAGCCCTGCCACCAGCCGGGTGACAACCAGACCCTGGGCATGGAGCCCATCTCAGAGGTGACCCAGAAGTGACAGGGTCACCTCAGCCCGTGGGCAGGTGCCACCCATCACCCACAGTGTCCCCACTGCAATGTCACAGGGCTGGCACAGGGCAGGGCCAGCAGCCCCAGCCCTCTCCAGCTCCCACCTCTCAGGCTGGCAGGGTGGGGATGGGAAAGCATCCTGCTTGGAAAATCAGAAAACAGCTTTTCTTTTTTCATTCTTTGCCACCGCTTCCAGGGTCACAGCTGACACAGATCCTCCCATGCCCAGGCCACCACAGTGACAGCATCACTGAGGGCAGGGGATGCATCCTCATCCTCCCTGCACCAAGGATGTCTCAGCTCAGGCCATGGAGGCTGCTCTGGTACAAGTGACACTGCTCCAGGACACTGTTCCAGGACAAGGACACCCAGGCAGACCCACACATCCCAAGGCAAGCCCACAGCCTGGGAGCCATTAGCCCAGTTCCTTCCATGCCATAACCATGGATGGTGGGAACCAGGGACACCAAGGCAGCTACAGGAAAACCTCCTGACCTCAAAAATCCTTTTATGCACATAACCACAGGCTGTCACCCACGTGCAGCACAGGCTGTCATCTCAGACCATCTACACACTCCACCTGCTTGCAGGCCTTGGGAAAAGACAAGCAGGGATGAAATCACTCTGAAGATGTAAGGAGCCAGCACTCCAGCACCCCAAAAGGACAGACTGTGGGGTGGGCACATCACCAGCACTGGGGTGCTGACAGACCCCAAAGGGTTTTGGCTGTGGATGACCGGTGCCTGAGGGCCCAAGGCCAGGGTAAATGTGGCCCTTGGACTTTCCCAAAGGCAAAAGGACACACAGGTCACCCTCAGCCACTCCCTGGGGTCACACTGTTCTCTGCCTGCTGTCCCTGGAGCTCTCCTGGGGCTCCAGCCCCACAGGTGTCCCAAGGGATACAGGACATGGGTAGGGATGGAGGCTGCTCCTCACCCACATGTCCTGATGCTCCCCAGCATGGCAAGTGCAGCCTCCCCACCAGGACATGTCCCTCAGAGCTGATCCCCACAGCAGAGCCACTGCTGAGCAGCAGCAAATTCCTCACATTTCCTTCTGGGATTTCCCACTGGCCACCTTTGGAGGTGGTTCCTCCTCTAGCCACCCTTTCGCCCACACATTTCTGCCCTCCTGCCCCTCCCACACCAGTGCTCCCTGCACCAAATCCCACAATGGTTTGGGTTGGAAGTGACCTTAAAGCTCCTCTCCTTTCACCCCCCTGCCGTGGGCAGGGACACCTTCCACCATCCCAGGCTGCTCCAAGCCCTGCCCAGCCTGGCCTGGGACACTTCCAGGGATCCAGGGGCAGCCACAGCTTCTGTGGGCACCCTGAGCCCGGGCCTGCCCACCCTGTGTAAAACATTTCTTCCCCACGTACAAGTTAACCCCAACCTGTTAGAGTTTAAAGCTCTCACCCCTTCTACCCTCACTCCAGGCCCTTGTCCAAAGTCCCTCTCCAGCTCTCTTGAAACTCCTTTGAGCACTGGAAGGAGCTTTAAGGTCTCCCTGTGGCCTTCTCTACTCCAGGCTGAACATGCTCAGCCTGGCTCCAGAGCAGAGGGGCTCCAGCCCTTGGAGCATCTCGGGGGCCTCCTGGACCTGCTCCAACCTCCCCACATCTGTCTGTGCTGGGGATGCCACAGCTGGATGTGGTGCCCCAGGGGGGTCTCCCCAGAGCAGAGCAGAGCACAGGGGAGCACCCCCTGCTCAGGCTGCTGCCCGTGGTGCAGCCCAGGACACACTCACCTTGCTGGGCTGCCATTGCACGGTGCTGGCTCGTGTCCCATCTGTCACCCCCCGGCACCCCCAGTCATTCTCTGCAGGGCTGCTCCCAGCCCGTCATTCCCCCAGCTGGGCTGGGGCTGTCCCCACACAGCTGCAAGATCCTGCACTGGGCATGGCTGAACCTGCCACCTTCCTCTTTCCCCACCACCTGCCTGGCAGGAAAGCAGCCAATGCCACACAGCACCCACTGCCAGCATCTCCATCCCTTCCCCATCCATTCTCATGTCCCCATCTGAGTGAAGGGCCAGCCTCCACCTGGGGCAGTGGCTCCCATCCTGCTCCCCATCCTGGATGAGCTTCAAGAGCACCAATCGCTCTGGGGACACCCATGCTCCATGCCTGGGCTCTGTGCAGGCTGCAAGGGGCAGCAGTGACAACTGGGAGTCCCACAAGACCCCCCATGCTCCCAGGAGTCACAGCTGAGTCAGGGGAAAAGGAAGGGGAAAGGAGAAGAAAAAAAAAAGAAACAAGCCTTTTGAGTGCAATATTTTAGTTGAGCACCAGAGCATGAGTAAAGGAGGGAGCTTTTCGTGGTCTGGTGAGTTTAAGCTATGAGCTGAAAGTTTAACTATTAATACACTTAATCAAGAGGTTGTTCCTACAGCCAGGATTTGGGAAAACAAAACAGGGAGGCAGGAGAGCGGTGCCATCGCTGTGGCCACCCCGGGGAATGTCCCTGCTAGGGGAGGTGGAGGGTCCAGGACCAGCTGGGGATGACCCAACCTCGGCCAAGCCCTGCATGGGCACACCAGGAGGTGCCAGGGCCAACACCCTGGATCTGGCCATCCCCCCGGTGGCCCAGAGATTGGCCAGAGGGGACAGTTTTGGGGAGAGGATGTCACCCCCAGACCCTGCAGCATCCCCAGGGCACAGACAAGCAGCACCTGCACTGCTGCCACCTGCCTGGAAGGTCCTGGTGACACCAGGGGATGCCGGTGGGTGAGGGACCCCCAGGATCAGGGATACCCAAAACACCTCCGCACCTCCTCTGGCCCAGAGCTGTGTCCCAGAGGAGGAGGAGGAGGAGGGAAAGGCCGAGTTTCGGGGTGCAGCAGGCAGAGCTCTGTGCCAGGGGCAGGGGCAGGCGGCGCGGGCAGTGCCTGGCAGCGCGGCGCCGGCCGCCCGCATCCCCACCACAAAATCCACGGCAAGGACGCTGGGCCGGCTCTGCCTCTCCCCACCGAGGCGGGGGGAGGACACGGGGACATTGGTGACGCCCGGCACAACCTCCCCCAGCCCTGCCTGCCCATCCCGCCCGGCACGCAGCCCCCCCGGCCCTGCCCCCGGGGCCACCGAGCCCCGAACGGCGCCGGGACCAACTTCTGAGCGGCACCGGCGGCTCCTTTGTTACTTTGCTTTTGTTGTCACACGCCGGCGCGTCCCCGTCCCCGTCGTCCCGTCACCGTGTCCCCCCCCACGTCCCTCCCACAGCCCCCCCCAGGCGGCGTCCCCGAGGTCAGGGCGCGACATCTGCCAGCGCGACGGGGCGACGCCGCTACCGGCACCGGGGAGGGGACGCAGCGCCGAGGGCATCTCCGGGGGCATCTCCGGGGTACCCGCGCGGGGACACTCGGGGTGACACCGCCACCGAGGGCGATGCGCTGCGGCGGCCCCGCGCTGGAGGAGCCGTTTGCCCAAAGCTGTTCCCGCTGGGAACGCGAAGGACGGACGGACGGACAGACGGAGGGACGGAGCGAGGTTTCCATGCCTACCAGCGCTCCCGCTGAGCGGGACCTCGGGGAGAGTCACCCCCCCTCCTTCCCATCCGACCCCCCTGGCTCGGCCCCGCCGGGGATGCGGCGCAGCCCGCGGGCAGCAGCGGGGCCGGGGAACGCGGGGGGCTGGGGAGGCCGGAGGGGTCCCGGTCCCCCCGCAGCCCCAGGTGCGGCCCCGCCGCCGGGCTGGGGGCCGGGGGGCGCGGACAAAGCGGCACAAAGGGGCCGCTGACACAGCAGGGCCCGTTTCCAGAGAAACAAAACTTCCGCCGGCCCCGGCTCCGCGCCCCAGGTAGCCGGGATGGGCATCCCCCCCCCAGGTCCCCCCAAAGGCGGCCTCAGCCGCCCTCCCGCAGCACGGCATCCCTCAGCATTCCGCCGGCCCCCCCCGGCACGGAGCGGCGGGGGGTGAAGGTTGCCCGGCCGGGTCAGCGCACACGCGGGGCCGGCACCGCAGGATGTGCGCGCAGCTTTGTTTGTGCGTGGGATGGACCCCCCCGCCGTGCCCATCCCACCCCCGAACCCCCCGTGCCACCCCCCCATCCTCCGCTCCCCGATCAATCATCCCAGCAAAGAATAACCCGACCCGAAGCAGCCCCGGCCCCGCAGGAAGGACGCTGCCGGTTGCGGGATGCGGTGGAAATAAAAAAAAAAAAAAATAGGAAAAATAAAATTAAAATAAAAGGAAAAAACCCAAAAACAACAACAAAACGCCCCACACCTCCGTGGGGCGCATGGGGCCGCGGTTCGGCGGAGTCTGGGGCCGTAATTCCCAAATTCGGGTCCAATGCACAGCCCCCACAGTGCTTTTGGGGCCGGTGGCACCGAACGAGGGATGTTCCACGGCGCGATCGCGGCGGCTCCACGGGTGTCGGGGCGCGGGGGGCACCGTGCCCGCGGGGCTGGGGCAGCGGGGGGTTCGGGAATTCCGTCTGCCGGCGGAGCGGGGCGGGGGGGCTCGCCGGGAACGGGGGGATGATAAAGTTGGGTGAGTTGTCGCACATGGCTGGGCGATGGCGAGCGGCGCCGCTCCCACGGCCGCCCCGCGCCCGGGCACCGGCGGCGGAGCCGAAGTGCCGCGGGAGCCCCGGCGCGCCCCGGGGAGGCGGCAACGACCCCCGCGCGGTCAGGCGGGGGTTCCCCCGCGCCCCCCACGCCAGCCCCGCCGCGGGTGGCACCGCCGGCCCCGCTGCCCACCGCCTCCCCCGGCGCCGCCGCCCCCGCCGCCCCCCGGCCCCGCCGCCACCATTGTCACCCGGGAAACCACCGGGCGCTGCCGCGGCGGTCCGGGGCGGCGGGGGGAGCCGTGGGGGGCTCGCTCCATCCCTGCCCGCCGCTCCCGGCGCATCCCCGCCGGGCTGCGGGTACCGGCGGCGGGGTTCGGTCGCACCGAGAAAAACTTTGCTCGTTACCCCGACGTTCCCCCCCTTCCCCTCCCATCCCCGGGAAGCGGCGGGGCCGCTCGGGCGCCGCGCAGGCAGCACCGGCCGGGCCCGACGCGGGCAGGCGGGCAGGCGGCCAGCTCCGGCCCCGCCGCCGCCGCGGGCAGCCCGGGCACGGCGCCGGGCAGCGGGGCGAGCCGCGGATCCCCCCGCCAAACTTTTTCTCCTCCGTCGCCTCCCCTTTCTCCGTGAGCCCCCCGACACCCCGCACCCCAACTCCGCCGCCGGAGCGCCCCGGGGGCCGACACCGAGAGCGGTCCGGGAGCCGCCGCGCTGCGGGCAGCGCTGCCGGGAGCGGCGGGGGCCGCCCGGGAGCCGGGAAAGGGGCAGCAGGGGAAGGGAGCGGGGTAGGGAGGGGAGGTCAGCACCTGCCCGGGGCCGGGGCCGGGGCCGGGGAGCCGAGGCGGGCTCGGTGCCTCGCCGCCGCCGCACACCCACCTCCACATCGCCGCTCGCTCTGGGAGTGCGCAGCCCCCGCTCCGCGCTGCACGGCGCTGCCGCCGCCGCCGCCGCTGCCCGCGGCTGCCGGCAAAACCCGGACCGGACCGGGCCGAGCGCCCCGCGCCGCCGGACAACGCCGCGACACGCCGCGACACGGCACGACACGCCGCGCGCGCCCCCCGCCGCCCCGCGCGCGCGCCGCCAGCCCCCGGCTCGCCCGACCCCCAGCGCCGAGCGGCGACACCCAGCCCGGGGCACCGCCACCCCCGCGTGTCACCGAGCCGTGCGACAGCCCACCCCGCGCGTGGGGCGCTGCGCGACCCTCGTGTCCCGCCCACCCCCCGCGGGGATTAGCCCGCTGTGACCCCCGCGTCTCATCTACACCCCCCGTGTCACGGTGTGCCCGCCCGCGCCCGTGTCCCAGCTGCCCCCATGGGTGTCACCACGGTGTGTCCCCTCGTGTCCCTGATGTCCCCTCATGGGTGTCACTGTGCTGTGCCGTCCGTGGGCTGTACACCCCACACGGGTGTCACCCTCCGTGTCCCAGCTGCCTCCCCTTGCCCCCCCCCCCCCCCCCCCGAGTGTCACCGAGGTGTCCCAACCTCTCATGTCACACCCGGATGGGATTGGAGTGTGTCCCCCGTGTCCCTCCATCCCCACGGATGCCATCCTATCCGTACCCCCTCCGTGTCCCACCTGTCCCCCACAGGTTTCACCCCACTGTGCACCCCGAGTCCTGGCCGCACCCATGGGTGCCAGCATGGTGTCCCCTCCAGCTCAGTGTGCCCCCCTTAATCCCCAGCGCTGCCCAGTGGGATGTCACCATCCTTTCTCTGGGTGTCACCATCCTGTCTCTGGGTGTCACCATCCTATCTCTGGGTGTCACCATCCTGTCTCTGGGGTGTCACCCAACTGTGCCTCCTCCCTCCCCGCTGTTCCCTGAAGGGTGACACCCCCATGTGCACCCACATCCCCAGAACGTTCCTCATCCGTCTGTCCCTCTGTGGGGTGCACATCCCTCTGTCATCCCCTCCTGCATGTGCTCCACCCTTGTCCCCAGCGTGGGGTGTCCCCATCCCTCTGCATCCCCTCTGGGGTTCCAATCCCTCTGTTCTCCCTTCCCACAGCGCGTTCCCATCTCTCCGTCCCCCCGTGGCGTGCAGTGGCAGAAGGTCCCAGAATAAAGAGTCACCCTGCGGTATTCGGGGTGCAGCAGAGGGAACTGGGGGTGCAGAGCCCCCCAATCGCTCCGCACAGCCAGGACCGCTCTGGGGAGGAGCCCCAAGCCCGGAGCCCCGGAGCCCCCGGCTTGCTGCCGCCACCGGGAGGGACCTCACGGTCTCCCAGCGGGGCATCGCTGAAATCCCCCTGAATAAACAGCAAATAATCGATGGTCCGATAAGTCAGCTGCAGGGAGGGGACAAATCCCGAGGTCTGGCCCCGCGGCAGTGTGGGGGGATAACACTCTTGGCCCAGAAGTTTCCTGCTCAACTTTTTGCCAGAATTTTTTGCGGCTGAGGGGGAGAGTTGTTGTTGGGTTTGCTTTTTTTTTTTTTTTTTCTCTCCCTTTGGAGTTGTGGGCACTGAAATATTGGAAGTTAAAAAAAAAAAAATCCTTAAATCCCCGCTCCTCAGCCGAGAGCAGCTTTCCAGGGACAAACAGCCCAAAAAAAAAACCCACCACCCCCAATTCCTGCAGCCTTTTCAGTTGCCAGCAAAATACCCAAACCCTCTCAAAAGCAGAAACCCTGACAAAAATGAAACTGGGTTTGTGTTGCCGTTGATTTTTTTTTTTTTTCACAGGAATGCGAAATCTCTTCCCACCCCGCTCCCGCCTCGAAATGAAACAAAAAAAATCTGCGATGGGGCGGGGGGTGGGGGGCGAGCGGCGCGGATGCTGTTTGTATTTGATCCACGTCTCGTTAATTATGCGCCTCTCTCGCAGATTTAGCCACTGGGATTTGCAACCGCGGGTGCTGTGACGATGCTCCAGCTTCCCAAAAAATCTCCCTCCGGGTGGCAGCGATGGGGGAGCGCGGTCCCATCCTCCTGGGCACCCTTTCAGCTCCTCTGCTGGCCCTCTCAATGTGCTCCCAACCTGCCTCCCTCCGCATTTCAGCCTCTCAGCCCTCCCAAAACAGGAGCAGGGGAGCCTCGTGCCCGGCACACGGGATGGGGGTGGCACTGGTGACACAGGAGAAGGGACAGAATGCCCCCAGCAGCACTCCAGGTGACACTGCCCAGCATACAGCACCATCTCACCCACGTGGGCTTCACCAAGGGCATTTTCTTTGCCCCTTTTTGGCTGTTTTTAAGGACCTGACACAACCCCCTGATGCCAGCATGAAGCACGGGGTGTTGATGTCCCCTTGGCCAAGGCAGGGCCTGTAGCAGTGGCACCTGGTGTTTGCCACCCACTGAAAGTCCCCAAATGCAGCAGCATTTCACTTCTCAGAGTGTTTGGAAAACTTGTGGGCAAATCACCTTTACTGAGGTCTGGGATGCTCAAAGAGAAGGGAAACTGAGGCACAAAGCCAAGCTGGGACTCGGTGACAGCGACAGCAGCAAAGCTGTGGCATCAGCCCAGTGTCCCCAGCCAAGCTCCAGGCTCCCAACCATTCCCACTGCCCAGTCCCCAGCCCTCCAGGCACAGGGAGCCCCCCAAATGCAGGGGAGGGTCCCCCAGTGCTCCCCACAAGGGGACAAGGGACACAGTCCCTGAGCCTCCACTCTGCTCCTGGAGCCTTTCCAGTGGCACGCTGGGGGCTGGGGGGAACAGGAGGATGAGGATGGAGGGCAAGGGGGACAGAGGTGGAGAATGAGTGGGCCAGAGATGGAGGACAATGAGGATGAGGATGAAGAGCAAATGGGACAGGAAGGGAGGGTGACAGGACAGGATGGAGAATGATCAGGCCAGTGTTGGGAGACAAGTGGGACAAGGTTGAAGGGTGAGCAGAATAGGGGCAGGGATGAAGGGACAGAGAGACAGGAGAATGATGGTGCCAGGGATGGAGGACACAGGATGGGGACTCATGGCAAGGGGACAGGGCAGAAACCTGTCACCAAACAGCAGCACTGCCCTGCTCACTGCCTGCCAGGGCCAGAATCTCCCCCAGCAGTGCTGGGCTTTGGGCTCTGGCAGTGGGGTCTCACTGCCCCTCCCCAGTGGGGAACAAACCCAGGAGCTCTGCCCAGCTCCAGGAGAAGAGCCAGGAATAACTGGGGTGGGGCAGGGAGGTGTTCCAGAGCAGCCTGACCCTGCAGCACTGAGGGGGGGTCATGCAGGTCCATGTCCCCCTCCCCAGGGTGGCAGTGGGACACCGTGAGACAGTGGCTGGCGGGCTGCCAAGGCTGTGTGACAGGGAGACACGTCCCAACAGCCTCCAGAGCACAAACACACATCCAAAATTGCCAACCCCAAATTCCCCCAGCCCAGCCGCTGCCGTCCAAGTGGGTTACAGAGCTGGCACTGCCTTGGCACCTCCTCCGTGCAGGGTGCTGGGAGGCTCCTGTTGGAGGGGAAGCCGCGTCAGGAGCCCCAGACCTTGGTGACATCCCTGATTTTGGGGAGGGGGCTGGATGGGGGACCCCATGCTGGGATTCACCCACCACTCTGGCAAGCTGGGGGCAGCCTGGCACGCACCCCTTGGCCCTGGGGGTGCTGGCAAGAGCTGGAGCAGCCGGTGGTGTTTTGGTGAGCCCTCCCGGAGTGTGGGTAGGAGTGACCCCCATGGTGCCCAGCAGTGACACAGGGCTCTATGTGTGTCCAGCCGAGCCCGGGGGACACCGCAGCCCCTCGTTCCCTTGCTGGTCACACACGGCCTGGGTGCCAGCACGGCCGGGGGTCCCGCGGGCAGCCCGAGCCCCCGGCCGGCCCCGCTGCCCCTCAGCGGAGCCCTGCAGGGTTAATTTTTAACCCCAGCTGTCTCCCGCATGGCGGCTGGGCGCGCTGGCCCCGCTCATGGGGACATGCCACAGCCACCACGGGGGACCGGCCACCCCTCCCTGGAGCCCGATGAGGGGGGGTGACACAGGGGGTGTCCCTGTCCCTCGGGGGAGCCCAGCGTGGCCTCCCGGGCTGCTCCAGGACGGGGACGCGGTGCGGGACAGGCGGGAGGCAGCGGCCTTTGTGCCCGGGGGGGGCCGGGCTGTCCCCCCGGCTCCTGTGCAAACGGCAGCGGCTCTGCCCGGGAATGTCCTGGCAGGAGGGACCCGGGCCTCAAAGCAAACAGACGCCGCGCCGGCGGCCGGGAGAGGGGCAGGAAGCCGCCCTCGCTCTGCCCTCAAGGGGGGAGCGTGTGCGCGGAGCCCCGGGGCTGGCCAGCATCCCCCAGCCTGCAGGAAGGGAAGGAAGCACGGCCAGACCCCCACCCGAAGCGGCCCTGCTGGGGGCTGAGGAGCTGCTCCATCGTGCCAAGGGACACCGGGGCCGTGCGGGTGTCCCAGCCCTTGGCAGGGGGGTCTGTGCCGCAGGGAAGGGTGGGCTGCAGCCAGAGTCCCGCCTACGTGCCAAGCAGCAGGAGAACCACGAGGACACTCGAGCTGCAGCGTTTCCACCTCCGGGGACCCTGGCAGGCGTTGGGAATTTTTTTTTTTTTTTTTTTTTTTTTTTTTTTTGAGCCGGGGATTCGCCTGGAATTCAGACGCCCACGTGGTCCAAAATAGCCTGGCTCCAACATCCGGAGCGCCCTGCAAAAGCCATCTGCCTGCGCAGGCAGGGCGGGCAGCCGCGGGCTGGGGCACCCGGCACAGCCCATCCCACCCCATCCCTTCCCTTCCGGTGCCTGCTGCGGGTCACAGAAGCCTTGCCCACGCCGTACCGGGGACACAGGGACAGGCAGTGCTGGTGGGCAGGCAGGGACACTGGTCGTGGTCGCATTAACACCAGGGTTTTCCCAGTGCTGGCCGGTTTTTGTCTCTAGGAAGACAGCAGTGATATGAAAACAGCCATTCTCAGACCAGAGGATGTTGCCCCTTGGACGGGAGCTGAAATGCAGAGCAAGCCAGGCTCCAGGGGGCAATTGTAAGTATTCCTGCTCCACCCATGTTCTCCCACATCTCATCCACTGGCCAGCACTGTGGTGTCATCTCAAATCCACTCCCAGCCCCTGGTGGGACAGGATCCTTCAGCCCCAGCACATGGGATGGGAGGACACCTGCCCAATGGTCCCTCTTCATGAGCTCTCACCACCAGGACAGCAGAGCCACATGGGGTTTTCCAAACCTCTCCTGCCTGTCCACACAAACAAGGAGACAGAAAGGTTTTAAAAACAGCCATGCCAGTTACATGATTTCCACTGGAAATATCAAAGTTACTTATGGGAAGAGCTAATTTAGGCACACTTGAGTCAGGAGCCCTGGAGA